TAGAGAAACAAATCCATAGAAACTCATGTTTATAAGAGAGAGTTTTATATAAAGGGTACTTGTACCTTAAGAAAGTATCACAACCAAGTCCAGTCCAAGCCCATAAGCCTGATATTAGCCCATATATCTAACACCAATCTATGTAGTCCTCTTCAGACTCATGAAATACATGCAAAGATGCTGAGTGCAGGACGATCACAGACCAGTGGGTAGAAAGTCTTTGGATCCAGTGGTGTTGTAAGCATCTCAGCGCTGAAGAGTCTCCACGTGGCTCCTCCAGTTCCCAGGGCTGCACCAGGGTAGGTCCATGTGGCTTCTCCTCAGGGATCTCTCAAAGGGAGTCAGCAGTCTCCTGTCTCCAAGGAGGAAAATCAGCAGTTCCCAGAATTCTCAGGAGGAGGCCATGCCCACACAGAGGTCTCTGGCTATCTCCAGATTGACAGGCTACACTCCACCCCTACTCTCTTAATCCTCAAATTGACACCAGATTATGTAACTCCCACAATGTGTCTCTCCCTAAAGTCCTGGCTATCATCTAGTCTCCTGTCTCTGGCTCCTCAAAGGATTCGCCCTGCCTCTTCCAAGTCTCCCATTCCAGGGCTTTTACCTGTAAAACTTCCCATTTGTTATCATCTCGGTGTACTCACACTTTACAAATGCCGACGAGCCGGCCGTGACTGAGCGGGCTCTGCAGGAGTATTCTGCGGTGGGGATGGTTGCACAGCGGCCTCCAGGTGTCCCTCACCATTCCATAACCGAGCTGCTCGCTTCCCCTGTGATTTGAGATCCTGGTGTCTTCTGCCGTTTTTCATGCAGCACCAATGCGGGACTGAGGTTAGACTGGCTTGAGGACTTGGTTCTCCGACTTCCTTACCTGTGACATGAATAATCATCCCACCCCATCTAGCTCCCAGACGGTGAGAATCAGCTGAGAGGGGTGGCTGCTGTGCCAGGCTGTTATCTGGGGGATGATTCTGGTGCCCTCCACCCCCAGCATGCTGACTGGGGACACCAGAGGACCTGGGCAAAATCCTGGGTCTGGCCAGACCCCCTCCCAGGCCCAGGCTTTGTCTGCAGTGTTTTCTTCTGCCTGTGAACCTCACCTTGCCCAAGATCACTTTGCTGAAACTGGCAGGGGCTGTGGGACCTCTCCCCATCTCACAAGCCCTGATGAGGATCAATGCTTGGCTCTGGCAAGGGGCAGCTCCTAGCTAACGCTGCACCTACAGAGCACCAAGGCTCAGGGCTCCTGCACCAGACTCCAGCCAATTGGGAACTGGGAGCATCCTTCAAGGGGCCCAGGTACCAGGCTGCAGGCCTGCGGAGACAGCAGGACATGGATCCTCAGGCCTGACGTGGTGGATGCTTCCATGCGGTGGAATGGTAGACATACTGCTCCCACTCAGGCCATGGCCGGGGGGAAGGGGGGGGGGGCAGCATCTGTCCCAGCAGCACAGTGTCTGCCAGATGCAGCCTCTGGAAGGGCCTCCAGCAAATGAATCCCTCCCCACGAAAACAGCCCTCTGCCAGCTGCCAGCAGACAACCACGGAGGCTCACGGTGCCCAGTGACCTCGAGCTGTCTGGCTCCTGGGGTGTCCTGAGCCACAGGGAGAGGTGACCATGAGCAGTGTCACTCAGACTTGCTCTGCTCCTGGTTCTGCCCCATCTTCAAGTCAGATGTGTGTGTGTGTGGGGGGGGGGGTCCCTTCCTCTCTTTGGGTCTCCGGGATGGCACCTACAAACAGGGAACAGCAATCCCAGTTCTACTAGTTTCACTTCTCCCTTCTAAGGATCCAAATGAGATCAGCCGCACACTAAGTGGCCCATGCGCACTGAGAGTCCTGGGTAGGAGGCCTGGTGGCGAGTGGGCTACACATACTCACCGCCAGAGTTGGTTCCAACTCACAGCCACCCTATAGAGCAGGACAGACTGCCCCAGGGGGCTTCTGGGACTTTAACTCTTTACAGGAGAAGAAAGCAGTTTTTTTCCCGAGGAGCGGCTGGTGGTTTCAAACTGCAGACCTTGGGTTAGCAACCCAACTTGTACCTCATGACACCACCAGAGCTTATTGGGTTACAGGTGGAACTTACTAACGGCAAGGTCAGTAGTTTGAAACTACCAGCCTCTCTGTGGTGGAAAGACAAGGCTTTCTACTCTAGTAAAGTTACAGACTCTGCCATCCCATGGGGCAGGGTAGAACTACCCCCTGTGGGTTTCCGAGGCTTTACCTCTGGGGGTAGAAAGCCTCATCCTGCTCCAGAGCAGCAGCTGGTGGTTTCAAACTGCCGACCTTGTGGTTAGCGGTCCACTGCATACCATTACCCCACCCGGCTCCCGCTATTAGTGGGTTTCCACGCGATGGTAGTGAGGACGGTTACGATCTCAGAAAACCACACAGGCACTCTACACTGTCCGACTGGGTCTGAGTCGGAATTGACTCGCTGGCAGAGGGATGGTATTGGGGTTTGGAGATTACCTGGCGGCACTGTCTGGTGAGCCTTGGGCTACTCTGAGGAAGATGCGGCTGGCTGCGCCCTTAGATTTACAGCCGCGCAGCCCTCTGGGTGTCACTGAGTCCGAATGACTGGCAGGTTTGGGGGTTGAGATTACCTGGAGGGACACTGCCCTGGGCTTTCAATCACTAGGTTAGAAATCGGACGTGATGAGGGCAGCCTTCCCGCCCCCCTCCCCCCCAGCCCTGAAGGCCACCACGGATACAGCTTCTCAGCCACCACTGATCCGCCCTCCTCCCCGCTAGTTCCCGGGCAGCACTGCACACGCACACCTGGAATGGCATCTCTTTTCCTTGAATAAAGTTAAGCTGCAGTTCTGAAAGGCTCCCGGCACCAAAGGCTCTCATTGTTAACATAAACACAATGGCCCCGAGTGTCTGCTCCCCCCGCCCCCCTGTGTGATGCAGCGCACCCCTCCCCTCCCCTCCGGGAGGGGGCCCAGTCGGACAAAGGCCCTAAAGGCACATGGGTCGCACATCCGGAGACCCCCTTGCAACGGGCAATACCCAAAGCCCAGTCCTGCCCGGGGTTCTGCCTTCTCCAGGTTTGCTTTCTAAGCGGGCCCGATTCCTTTGTGTCCCGCTGGTCTGCCGGGAGGGGAAGGTCTCCGAGACCCGGCGAGAAGGGAGGCCGCTGGGCTGCGGAGGCAGCGCGCTCTCTGGCGGCGAGCACAGGCCCTGCAAGGGCAGAGAGGCGCGGTCCAACTGGGGAGGATGGTGCCTGTTCGGGGTCACCCAGGCCTTTGCAATTGCTGGGGTGGGGGTGGGGGCTGTTTCAGACCCAAACCATTGAAATGAAGACGCAGACCCTACCGCCGGGTGGCCTGACTTCTTCATTAAAAATAAGGCGTGTCAAGTGTAAGCATGAGGGAGGCCGACAGGGATCCAAGCCGGGGCCCACTATGGGGAGCAGGTGCCACAGGGCTCCTGCGGAAGGGCACCCATCAACCCCCCACTCCACCCCACCAAACCACAGACCAACTCAGAAGCCAAGTGCTCTGTGATCAAAGGGCATCTCCTGACAAGGCTGTCCCCAGCCCTCAGAGAAGCCAGAAGGCCTGCTCACCAGACACTCAGCCCTCAATCCGAGGACGGGCCCAGAGGCCACTCAGTGTGCAGCGGTGTGCAGTCAGCCCAGGGACTCTGGGATGGATGCGCTCAAGGCCGCCCTAGAAGGGAAACCGGCCGGCAGGGGCAGGAGCCACACAGCGTGGCCCCTCCACTCGGACGCCAGGGCAGTCGTTCACCGGGCCTCGGGGGCCACATCTTTCCCTACAAAGAAAAAGTTAACATTTTGTTCAGGAGGCTGCCTAGGATTGAATGAGTTAATTTTTTTCCCTTTTGTGAATAATAAATATAAAGGATTTTGGATTGTGTTAATACATCTGCTTTTTAATAGGAAGTTTCCCTGAAATCTTTGCACAAAATAGACTCCCAAAGATGATGTACCGTGTTTGTTAGGTGGGCCTGGTTAGTTTAGGGGTCGCTGCAAAATACCCCCAAATACCCCTCTGGCGGCGACTCAAACCACTCACTGGTGCGAGGATAGGCCACAGTGAGGCCCCAAGAGGTGACCATGTGCCCCCTCCCCCGCGCGCCCCACTGTCTCCCTCAGTGAATGTAGAGCTTGTCGGAGACGGCTGCGGGCAGGTGGGTCATGATCTGCATGCGCAGCCACCAGTAGTAGTCCATGGGGTGGTAGCGGGTGTAGGGGGTGGCGGCGGTCAGGGCGTGCGCGACCGCCTTGATGACGGGGGTCGTGTCGGTGGAGCCGCTGCTGCAGTAGTTCTCCATCTTGGCGATCTTCTCATCAAAGTACTTGCGGCCGTAGTCCTTGCGCACCACCTCGGGCAGCTGGTCCCACATCCTCTTGGCGATGGCCTGGATGCTCTCGCGGCTGTAGAGCTTGGTGCCCGCGATGAAGTTACCGGGCTCCACCACACTGACCTTCACGCCCAGTGGGTGCATCTCGTAGCGCAGGCAGTCGGAGAAGGCCTCCACCCCGAACTTGGTGATGCAGTACGGGGAGCGCGCCGGGTTGGCCATGCGGCCCAGCATGCTGCTGATGTTGACAACGCGGCCTGTGGAGGGAAGGCACACCTGCTCAGGGGGCCCAGCACACCGCCTGGCAGGATCCGGGAGTCTGAAGGGAAGTAGAACTCCTGCCAGGCTAGGGTCGGCTTCCTGGGCCACCAGAGCCAGGGGCTTTTTATGCGGTGGCTGTTCAGATTTGACTTGCCTTCCCTAAATGTATTGGAATCTTGTTATGGATGAACCTGTGCCCCCATTCCCACCCCCAAATGCGTTATGAATTGTAACCACTATACCCTTAGATGTAACCTCCTTTGGGATAGGGCTTTCTCCATTATGTTGTTAATCAGGCGGTTGTCAGTGTAGGGGGTGTTTTAAACCTATCACTTGAGGTCTAAAAGCCTGGGCCCAGAGCAAGCACACACAGATAGGGAAGATTCATGCCACATCAGAACTGCCAAGAACCACAGCGATGGGGGAGATTCATGCCACATCAGAACTGCCAAGGACCCGAACAACAGAGGCTGAAAAGACACCAGGGCCTTCCCCCAGAGCCAGGTCACGGAAGTCAGCCTTCTCACCTCCCAAAAGTGCAAGAAAATGAACAGTTTTGTTACAGCAACCCCTGGGGGCAAAGCAGCGTGTCAGTGAAAAAGAGGAAGATCCCTTTGGAGGTGCCCTGGCGCAGGGGCTGCGCCAACAGCCTCCAACATCTCAACAATCATGAAGTGGGGCAGGCCCGGTCTGTTGTATGAGGGGCTTCACAAGTAGACTTTCTCTCAAACTTCCTGAAGGCCCCTCGGCCACACTGTGAAGAGGAACGGAATGGAGGGCGCCCGACAGCAGATAATGCAGGCAAGCCCTAAGCCCTGTGCCTAGGTGTCGTCCTTTCTGAAAATAAGGGCTCCTGGTTGGGAGGCCCTGCAGGTGTCGTGTAATCAGTTCTGGGTGCTTTAGGGGAGCAGCCGGCACAAAGCGGGGGAAGCAGAGCACATACGGGGACCAGCAAGGACCAAGAAGGAGGAAGGCCAGGGCTACAGAAACCGAGACAAGGGTCTTCCCCCAGGGTGGCTGGCAAGAGCTCCCTGAAATCTGACTGGCAGCTGGTAAACTGTGAGAAAGTAACTTTCTGTTCTTCAGCCTGGCACTGCTGTGGCAGCAGCGGGAAACGAAGACAGCAGCCAGGCCAGCATCCCTCCGAGGCTTTCCTGGGGAAGCCACGAGGAGGAGAGGCAGCCCCGCACACCGGGAAGGGGTGCCATAATGGTCAGCACCCAATGCCCTGCTGTGGGAGAGCACTGGGGGAGAAAACGCCCTGGCGACTTGGGACAGTTGCGTCTTTGTGGACGTGAACAGAAAGACCTGTGCTGTTGGAATGGCTCCAACTCCACCTATTGATGAGGAGAGATGGGCTGGGGTAGGTGCAGGGGTTCTGAACCTGACCATGGAGCTGGTCACATGCATGGTCTTGGGCACTGGAGGACAGTGGTGACCTGGAAAGAGACGCTCTTGCAGCCCAGATGGTGGGCAGTGGGGCTGGATGTGAGAGCCCAGGCTGACCTGGGAGCAGAGCAGCTGGGGACACTGTGGGGAGGCACCTTCCAGAAATCTCTAGGTCAAATCATGAAGGTTTGGGGTTTCCTTCTAGAATCCGACAGCTGCTGTATGCACATCCCTGGTACACCCAGGGCTGAGCCTGCCGGTTCGCCCTTGTTTTGCACGCTTGTTTGCTCTCCTAGTAGAACAGCTCTCAGGGACTTCTGAGATGATTTGTTTACAGTTCGTTTTCCAAGAAAGGTTTGGGTGTTTTATTTTTCTATATCCCCAATCTTCATTTTTTGAAAGAAACGGAATACCCCAATTGGCTCCATTTCTTTTTAAACCACAGCATAATAACCCATAGGATGGATATGCCAAAACACCCTTCAGCAGCCCTCCTGATACCCAAAGGGTAGGCACGGGTGGCAAGGAGTCTGGACTAGGTTGCAGCTGTCATCTTGAAGCCGTTGGTGTTTATTAGACGGCTGACCTCCTACTTCTCTGCTTTCTGGAAAGCTTGCACCCCCTCTAACTAGGCAGTTACGTGCCCGCCCCCCCCCCGCCCCCAGTGCGAGTGCTCAGTCTGCAGGGCTGATCCAGGAGGGAGAAGGTGATCCCTTTGCAACTCACCTTTGGCCCTTCGGATGAGAGGGAGAAAGGATTTCGTTGTCCTCACTGTCCCCCAGAGGTTCACTTCTGCCACCTCCTTGTAGGTCTCCATGCTGGTGAACTCCACCTCCCCGAAGGTGGAGATGCCCGCGTTGTTCACCAGGCCCCAGAGTCCTGAATAGGAGAGGACAGGCCGGCCGTCACCATGGGGTGCGGCCCCAGACGGCAGCCTTCAGCACAGACCCCTCCCCACTGAGGCACCTTTTCCCATGGCTTCTCAGCCTCCGGCCTGCTTCTCTCTTGTGCCACTCGAGGGTGACAGGAGACAGAGAGGGTGCAAGTGCGGCTGTCACCTTCCCTGCAGTCTACAACGCCCAGGCTTCAGCTCCCTGAGGGAGGCTACCACCTGCATGGTGGCCCCGCCTGCTGCCTACATGCACTTCCGGCCCCGTCTCTCCGTCCCCCAACTGCCCTGTGCCCCGTATCCATGTGCCTGTCTCCTGCCTCCATGCCTGCCTCTGCTTACATTCCTCTTCCTGACAGCCAGGAAACTGAAGAAGATTCCATGCAGGGCAACCCTCTCTGGAGGACCTGAGAGGAAACCCAGCTCCCAAGGTCACATTAGCAATTTGGGGCTCAGTCAAAGCTTGATTTCAGGTCAGGCCCCATTCGCCATCCCTACTCTTACAATTAATCCCTACTCCCACCCGACCCCTAAGCTCCCATTTCTGAACTAAGACACTGTTCGCTGGGTGTCGCATGCTAATCCATCGGCAACCTGGTCACCGGTACCCTGTGCGTACCCCTCTGGTCCCTGCAGGGAGAACCAGTGCTCATCCTTGCATGGACCCAGAGGGCTAGGTGCTGGGTCGAGCAAACGTATGCATTCAAAATACCATGGGTTCACTGTTTGTGGCAAGGCTAGCCAAGGCTTCTGTAGACTCAGAGAACGTTGGTGCTAGAAGTTTCTTTGAAGTGCATGTCTGATTACGCATTTGAGAGACAGGAGAGCTGACGCAAGGCCCTGAGAGGGCCCAGCTGACTGCAAGTGATCTAGTTATTTTGTGGCAGGGTTGAGTTGGCGGGGAATCATGAGGCAGCCTGGTTAGCAGGCTTCTTGGGGGCTGGATTTCTTGGTGTGGGCACTGGATGGACCCTCAGGACTGAGCCAGCTTGGCGTGTTGGCTGTGGAAACCCACAGGGTGGCCTCCCCATGGCTCCGAGCAGCCTGGGAGCCTTCTTGCTCCTTTACTTGGGAACCTTGGCTGGGCTCGCTTTAAGAGCTAACGGTGGAAGTGGAGTGTGTGTCACGGACAGGGTAATTGGCCTCTCGCTGTTTTCCTTCGAGTTACCCAAATTAAAGCTTCCTCAACTGACCTCTGGTGCCTTCTCCCTCAATTATGGGGAGTTAAGGACATTTATTAGGAAAAGGAAATTGCTGATTAACAAAGTGCTCGCTCTGACCCCCCACAGCGGCAGTTCTAAGGCACCTCTCTCTGAGCCTCACCAGTGACCTCCGGGGCAGCAGGCGGAATGACCTCGCCCTTCCTCTCCTCAACCAGACCCTAGCAGCCCCTCTCCTCCAGCAGCTGCTCTCCAGGCCGCCTGCTCCCGGCGCCCCCACGTGGCTGAGAGTAGACCTGTGCTCCACGGAGATTCCAACGCTTTTCCGAAAGCAGACCGCCAGGCCTTTCTTCCCAGGAGGCTCGGGGTGGACTTGGGCCCCAGCCCTTTAGGTTAGCCCCCCTGCACCAGCCAGGAGCACCTCTGCGCACACCGGGAGCTCAACAGAATCCGTGAAAGGAGCGAATGTCCACGTGCTCGCAAAGCTGCTCTTAACCACACTCTCCTCCTGCCATCGTCCTCCCTCCCTTCTAAAAGCACCCCCCCAACCCCCGTCTTCTCATTTCCCTGCCACTGCAGCTGGTCCAGAGCCTGCATGGGCTCCAGGACGCCAGTGCTCAGGAGTCCCCATCCCCACAGCCCGCTGTCGCTCTGACCACCGGGCACTCACTCACCCCTGGCTGTGAATGATTCTGGCCTCCAGTCTCCCTGGCACCCTTCCTCTGCCTGCCTCCCTAACTAACACAGGTGCCCCAACGTTGTCCTAGCCTGCCTTTCCCAAATGACCCAGTCCTCAGGCACCTGCTAATTCTCGTTTGTGCAATCTTCCAGGGCCTAAAACACATGTCATTGTCTTTTCCAGCCCCCGAGACTCCAAACCATTACAGCTGACACAAATAACCGAAAGGGCTTCCTTGCCCGTAGCCTGTGAAGGGCCCCCTCCTGGATGGGCAGGGGTGGTTCGAGAAACCTGGGGGTGTCTGGGAACTCGGCTAACGTTCCGAACAAGCTCATGGTCGCACCCCACTGGCCCAGGTGCTAGCTCCACTTGGGTGACTCGCAACAGCCCAAGCACCCCATTCACACCTTGGCCCTCAGCCTCCTTGTAGGAGTTGAGGCTTTCTCCAGACCCCAGGAGCCTCCTCCTGAGGGTCACTTCCGCCAGAATGTTCCACGGGTCCCCAAGCACCCAAACAGCCAACAACAAACAACAACATCCATCTTCCAAGCTGCCCTTGCCAGCGCCTCTGCTTGGTGGAGAGTTCCACCCCCATCTTAGATCCCACCCCCCACCCCCATCCCGCTATCACAGGCTCGGAACTAAGCACTCTGCACCCATCAGTCAGCTCACCTAATTTCCCAGCCCACCTATCACCGGACAGCCCCAGCTGTCTCATCTCTGGATGAGGCTCCTTGCTGCATGCAGCCAGCTAACAAGGGGAGGTGGGGCAGGATGTGGACCAGGTCTGTCTGAGGCGGCAGCCCTCAGGCCACTGCTGTTGGTAGCTGTGCTGTCATTAGACTTGGTGGCTTCCTTCCCATTTTTATTTGGGTTACTATGGGTTCCTGTGGCCTCTCTCCCGTGTGACTGGGGAAGCCTCCTCCACAGTCTCCCTGACTCAGCCCCCTCCTCCCTCTTTACCCCGCCCCCCTCAGCTTCCTGCTGCCACAATTCCCTCCACAGAGGCCCTGCCCTCTGTAGTGTGGCACCTCCCTCTCCTCAGGTATTCAGCCCTTTCTAAGTCTGAACAGCCTGCCATCCATCACCCACCTTCCGGCCTCTGCTCCCAGCCAGGGAACAGCTTCTGATGCCAGCGCACCCATGCCACTGCAGGAGTTGTGTCTGGGTGTGAGGTCACACGGCATTCTGCCCATTTCACAAACAGGCAAGCCAGGGTCCAAACAGGTGAGGGTACAAAAATGTAAGGTGGCTTTTCTGGGAAGAAGTGAAGCCCAGAGCAAACCTGGGCTGCCTGTGGCCTAATGTCCCACCATTGCTATAACTGCCCCAGGCGCCCTGACCAGAAGTTACAATGTCTACCTGGCTGCTCCTGCCAAGTGAAAGCTCTCCTGGCACCCAGCATACAAGTAGCCAAGTATCCAGCAAGCACCTAATCTACAAATATTGGCCTACTGGCAGGCAAGTGATGGTGCCGAGGTCTGGCTTTGCCTAAGCCTCTGCCCATTGGCCAGCCACCCACTCTTCCATGGCGCAGAGGGGGAAGCCTGGGCACAGGCTGCAGATGTCCTGACCCACAGAGTCCTGCTGGGAGGAAAGGAGCCAGCACGCAAATGGCTCACTGCAGGAACCAGGCAAGCCCTTCATCTCACCCCCTAGGGCTAGCTCCCTCCAGCAGGGGCAGTGGTGAAGCACATCAAACGCCCTTCAGAATGGCCCCCACAGCTGAGGAGAGGAGGCAGGGACAACTCTCCGGATGTTTCCTGCTGAGCTGTGTGTCACCAATGGCCAGCACTCAAGAACCAGCAAGCTGGTCGGTGCGCCGGGAGGCTGCCACCTGGTGTTCAAAGCCGGCATTGCGTGAGAAGAGAGAGGAATGTCTGCTTTCCTGGGGAGACTGCTTGACAATGTGTGTGTGTGGGGTGTGTATATGGTGGTGTACGGGGTGTGTGTGGCATGTGTATGGTGTGTGTGTATGGGGTGTGGAGGGTGTGTTTGGTGTGTGAATGGTGTGGTGTATGTATGTGTGTGGTGGTGTATGTGGTGTGTGTGTGGGGGTATGTGGTATGTGTATGGTATGTGTGTGTGTATGGCATGTGTGTGTATAGTGTGTGTATGGTGTGGTGTGTATGTGTGTGTATGGTGTGGTGTGTATGCTGTGGTGTATGTGGGGGGTGTTTGTATGGTGTGTTTGGGGGGTGTGTGTATGTGTGTATGTGGAGTGTGGGTGGTATGTGTATGGTGTGTGTGTGTACACATACGGAGCTCAGCCTGTAAGGCCCCATTCTCCCTGAGCCCCACCACGGTTCTCCCTTCCGTGAGCATCTTAAATCCCTAGTGGCCTTACAGTGCTGACTGCAGCCGTTTTCGTGTGTGCAGACAGGGTCCAGCCGCCCTAGGAAGGCGGGCAGTGCTCCAGAGGGTTTGCCACGGGGAGGGGACAAGCAGGCTGTGCACCTCTGAGCTGATCCTGACCCCGGGGGCTCCAACTGGCCTGTGGTCATGGAACAGGAGCGCTGGCTCCACCCAGTCATTGTTAAACAGATGCTAGTGGGTATGGGAGACTCTCAGAGCACAGGAGTGGGGCAGGGGCAGCCGGGGACCAGCAAGGCCACGCCATACCCACCAGCGACGGACTGACAGCCCTCTGGCTGCGGCCACCCAGCGAACTGGCTTCCGGAGGACTGGTGCTTGGGCCTTCTCCATAATCCTCCAATCTGATTCCGTCCCTTCTCCAAAGCCCACGGCCTACTTTCGGATCCCTACTCATGCCACACCCCCTCTAAATCGACCCTGTGCTGACCACCGCCAACTGCTTTGAAAAAAGGTTCCTGGATAGAGTGAGAAATAAATATGGAACAAACAAAGTCATAAAAAAGACCAGCCTTAGGGGTTGGAGAGACTGGTGCGACACCCCCGCCCCTTAAGCCACCCTTCAGATCTGGAACTCAGCCCTAGGGTTCAATGTGCTTGCACATCTATCACGGAACAATAACCGTAGGGGGGAAGCGCTCCCGAGAATAAGCAACATTTGCCATGTACAGGCAGCATTCCCCCCTGGACCAAGTTCAGACAGTGAGGAGAGGAGGCTGGAAAAGGAGAAACACAAGAGGAAGTGGGATTACCACTGGGGGGATTGTAATCAATGCGATGAAACAAAGCATGCATGGATTGTTGGAAGGAAGCTGCTCTGTCCTGTAAACCTTCAACCAATTCACGACAAACAGTTGACAAAGCACCCCTGTCCACGGCGGGGCCAAGTGACTCCTCTCCCCGAGACCCCTCCAGGGACTGCTCCTGCTGCTCTCAGCCAAGCCCTGGACACCTGCCCCCATCACCTTCTCTACCTCATCGGTTGCCTCCTCCTCCCCCAGACTTGACCGTCATATTCCACTCCCCCACCCCCGCTAATGCTCGGTTCACGCTCTCCCGCAGCTGGAATGCTGCACTCATTCCCTGCCACTGTCTCCCATAACAGACCCGCCCCCTCCCACCTGAGACTGGGCAAAGGCCCTCTTTGCTGTATCTACTCTGCCTCTCGGCGCAGAGCATTGGTCCACAATATATTGACCAAGGTCAGTGCCCCCCTGAACTATGAGGTCTCAGGGACCATGGCTGGGTCCTCACTCAGCTAGCTTGGTGGCTGACCCCGAGCAGGCACTCAATGGTCACTAACTGGACCGATCTGATCCAACTCACACCGCTTCATCAGTCCTGTGGATCGGAAGTCAGCACTGTCCTATAGCACCAGCACATTAAATGGAATGGAATCTACTTATGCAACCCTCCAACCGGGTCTGTGTATATGGTGTGTGGGGTTATATGGAGGCTGGGGTTAAGGCAGGGCCCCACACAGTACCTTTGCTTCCCCCAGTGCTCGCCTACCTTCCTCGGGGTTCTTCAAGCTTGAGCGAATGACCTCCACGGCTCTCTCCACCTCCTCACTTTGGCACACATTGAGCTGCACGGTTCTCAGTCGGTCACTTTTCAAGCTGTCTAGCGCCTGGACACCACTGTCCCCTTTGTCCTAGAGGTGAGAAAGAAGCTACTTCAATCCCTCTTTCCCATCCCTGGGTAGGAACGCTGACAACTGCCAGTGGTGTTTGTCAGAGGCCCGGCGACACAGCAAGCACCCAGCCCACCAGCTGGTGGGATAAGTCCTCTCAGCAAGGGTTGAGTATTTAATTTCCAAGTGGCCAGGTATGTGGTCACAAGAGACAGGGAGGAGGTGGATCTTGGGGAGCCTCTGCACAGGTCTAGGTGGGGGTGCATGCCCAGGGTTGCTGGAGGCTTGGATTGTAAACTTAGTAATGAGATTTCTATGCGAAACCTCCTCAGTTTGGGCAGGTTTTTTCACATTAAAAGAAAGCAACTACGTGTGTGCAGCTATCTGAGCAGCGGGCTGGTCACTTGCCCGCTCTGTTTGAAGTCAAGAACCCACCAACCCCTGATAAGACACCAGAGAGGCCCTAATTGTCCCTGCCCAGCTCTCTCAGCTCTCAAGTCAGGACACTGTCCACTCTCTGCGTGTCCAGGGCGATGCAGGGAGAAACGTCGAAACACAACAACCTGAGTGTTGAGCTGGAAAGCCAGTTGCCATGGAGCTGGTGCTGACCCACGGCAGCCCTGTGTGTGTCGGAGTGGCCGTGAGCCCCTGGTGTTTTCAGGGGCTGAGCGCTTCCAGAGGCAGATCGCCAGGCCTTTCTTCCGAGGCACCTCTGGGTGAATGTGAACCACCCCCTTCAGGTTAGCCGCCGAGCAGTTACCCGTTTGTGCCACCCAAGGACTCAAGTGTAAACACCAGACTAGTGCCCTGCATTTGGCTAGCGCTTCATGGGCCTGCCACTGTGCTAGGAACTGGCGACACAGAGAAGTCACTCGGTCCCTGTTCTCAGTCCTGCTCTGGGGCAGGAGACACGAGGCAGCTGGCTTTGAAGAAATGCCCTAGCCAAGGGCAGGAGCAGGAAGCCCAGAGGATGGTCAGCACAGGTCAGGGTGGAATGTCAGCTACAAGTTCGATGGAACCTAGGAAATAGATGGAACTGGGAGGCCGCTTGGCCCGGCTTGAAGGACCCCAACCAAACCCGCTGCTCTCAGAGTCCATTCTGCCTCCCAGAGACCCTCTTCAGGGCTTTTGAGACTGTAATCTGTGTGGGAGTAGACCGTGTCATCTTCCTCAGAGAAGCTGGTGGGTTTGAACCGCCGGCCTTGTCGTTGGCAATCCAGTATCTAACTCTCACCACCACTAGAGCTCCTTCGAAAGACCTACCATCACCTGATGTCAGAGGGCACGGGAGAAAGTGGTAAAGGAACTGCAGTAAGGGAAGCCAATGTGTTCTATGCAGCTCCAGAGAACAGAATCAGGGCTAAACACTAGAGTTCGACTCACAGTGAGGAGAGGCGTCCAGAGTCTGGCGAGCGGCCTCTCCGAGCAGTGCTCAGCTGAGGGCTGGGTGATTCGAGGTGGTGGTGGTGGTGGTTAGCAAATGGGGAGCAGAGAAGATCTAGGGATCAGGCAAGAGGTTACTTTGATCTCTCTGTAATATCCGGTGAGAGGATTTTTGTGCCAACATGGCACCCATAAAAAGATATGGGTGGAGTTTAGCCTGTCAATCAGGTCGCAGCTTCATGACCTCATTTGGAGGTGCCACAGAGATAAACGGCTCTCTGGAGGCGGGCCACTCTCTCTCTCTGCCTTCACCTTCCTATTGACGAGTCACTTTGAGTCACCTGTGCCAGCCCTGTGATGCTTCCACTGCCATTCGATCCACAAGACTTTGCACCCACTGGCCTAGGATCTTCCTGCATTCTGCATCACTGCATGTGGCTGCCTGAGGCTGAAGAGGGGCTTATGGACTAGTACCGGACTTATTTTATGAACTTGATCTGGTCTGGGCTGTTTTTCTGATATATAACTACTTCTTGATATAAAGCTCTCTTACACATGTATGAGTATCACTGGATTTGTGGCTCTAATTGACTCAGCCTAACACATATCAAAACCCTACACTGTCATCATGCAGCTTGGTTTCCTCCAAAGAGAGCTTTTCCAGTGGCCCTTCTAACATAATGTGGTATGACCACTGAGCCTCTGCCCAGACCAGGAATGCCAGCTACATCAACAATCACCCCTGCACATTGCAGCCAGGCTCGAAGCGCAATGAGTCTAGGGTACGGCCCTGAAACCCTGTGGATGGCTCATCTTTCCAAGACAAACCAGCAGATACTAGATCTCCAAGGTAGCAGATAGGGTTGGACCATAGGCTGCCATTCTCAGAGCCCACGGACGGAAATAACTGAAACAGAGCTCCTGGGATACCATCTTGAAGCCCACCTGTCCAGTTTTTACGTCTCCCACGTGGCAGGTTCTCGAATGTCCCTGAGAGCGGAGCCCAAAGGATCCGAACCTCAGAGGTTGTACGAGTCTCTCTCTAACACTAAGGCGTCTAGCTTAGATGTTCCAAAGGTGCCTGAGGAGTATCCTCTCTCCTTCCCAGGACTTTGTCGACGCTGTAGCCATCCTTCAGCACTTCAGAATCTGAGGAAGACCTCGCTTTGTGCCTCTGGTTAGCGTCCCAATGAGAAGCCATTCTCTCCAGGTCAGGTGCCCACATAAACTCTTAATTTACCAGCACATCCGCTAAAAACTTTATCTCAAAGGAAAACCAAACCAGATGCTCTTCAGTCAACTCCAACTCATGGCAACCCACGTATTTATAAGGTTGCGTTTTCTGGAGAAACAAAGCCAGTGATGCTCACACATGTATAAGAAAGGGGGAAAATTTTTTTTTTGGCTATAACATCATAGAAACCTTCATTTTTGTGGGATTTTAAAAATCATTTTATTGGGGGCTCATACAATTCTTATCACAATCCATACATACATTGTGTCAAGCACGTTTGTACATTTGTTGCCATCATCATTCTCAAAACATTTGCTTTCTACTTGAGCTCTTGATATCAGCTCATTTTTTCCCTCCCTCCCCACCACCCTCTCCCCCCCAGCCCATGATAATTTATAAATTATTTTTTGTCATATTTTACACTGTCTGACGTCTCCCTTCACCCACTTTTCTGTTGTCCATCCCCCAGGAAGGAGGTTATATGTAGATCCTTGTAATCAGATCCCCCTTTCCACCCTACCCTCCCTCCACGCTACCCCGGTATGGCCACTTTCAGCACTGGTCCTGAAGGGATCTGTCCTAGATGCCCTGTGTTTCCAGTTTCTATCTGTACCAGTGTACATGCTACATGCTCTGGTCTAGCAGGATTTGTACGGTAGAATTG